CTTTGTTTTTGAACTGCTGACCTTGCAGTTAGCAACCAGGTCTATTAGTCAGCTTGGACTCCCATGGCAATGAGTTTGGTTTGCTGTTGTGTTGTTTGTTTTTTTTTGTTTTGTTTGCTTGCGGGGTGGGGGGGTTAACAGATTCAGCTACTAAACAAAAGGTTGGAGGTTCAAATCCACCAAAAGTTGCCTCAGAAGACTGGCTTTGCCAATCTACTTGCAAAAATTCGGCTACTGAAAAAAACCCTATTGAGCACAATTCTTGGGTCACAGTGAGTAGGAAATGACTTGAAGACCATTAGCTGGTTTTACGGACTTAGTGTTCTTTGAATTGTCAGGTTCTGGTCCATCTCTATTTTCCACGTCATTTTCTTGTACTTACCATGACAGGAGGCCCAGATTAGGAGGAGAGATCCCCGTCCCTTCAAGTGTCTGGCAAGGCTCTTCTTTCCCTTAAAGTGAGATCTTTAAAAATAAACAAACAACACAATTAGCTACACTTTTCCTCCAAATTGGCTACATCCTAGTTAAAGAGGCTATATACACATGCTCCTAGAGACCTAGTCAGAGTCTGTCAAGAACAAGCTGAAAAGCAATCTAATTCTCACTAGTTAAACCCAAACTCTAGTATGCTTTTGTAAAATCCTCTTGGTCTTACATTCTGCAAAAACAGTCAATGTTTACATTCCTGCTGTTAACAGGAATAGGATAAATAATTAAAATCAATCTGCAAATAAACTATTCTATAATATCTCGGGGTGTTCTAGAGAAATACAAACCACAATTTGAATGGATATAGCACACCCACATTCATCACAGCAATATTCACAAAAGCAAAAGCCCATCAGTGGAAAAATGGATTAACAAATCATGACACATACACAATGGGATACTCCAGAACATTAAAGAATCTGTGAAACCCCTTATAACATGGATGAGAGTAGAGGACTTTATGCCGAGTGAAACTGGCCAATCACAAAAGAACAAGTATAAGAACACTATTACAAAAAGTCAAGAGAAGGTTTTCATACTATAACATTCTTTGATGGTTACAAAGGTAGAAAGGGTGAGGAGGGAAAACTACAAATTATAAGGTAGACATTTGAGTGAAGAAACAGACAATAAACAGTAAACGGGAAGTGAGACACAAGCGTGCAAGAGTTTAAAGGCAGCAGCAGTAAATAGTTACATACACAACCCTGCAATGGCAGCAGTGCTATCTGGATAGACACATAGGCTTAGTTAGGGTTTGGGAAGTAGAATGGGAAGATATTCTTAAATATACATCTGTATGTTGGACTAAGGATATTTGTAAATGGGTATTTATCTTTGTTGCAGATATATTCATGAGCATGGTGAAAAGGTTATGAAAACGTCTTAGGCATACCCACAAACACCTCAGGGAAATGAGTTGTTGGGCTAGGGGCTCTGGACCATAGTCTCAAGGGCCATCAAGGTCAACTAGCCTAAGAGTCCACAAAGACAATATTCTTAAAATTTCATAAGCAACTGTCTGCAGTACAACTGCGGGTCTCCTTGTCTAGAGAAAAGGAGAATGAAGAAAACTGGGGAAACATGGAAACAATTAGTCCAATGGACAAATGCACCACGAGAAGACTGTATGACTCGTGACCAGAAGAATTGGAGAGTACCCAGCCACTACTCTCAACCGCTTTAGAAAGGCATCACATTAGGAAGCAGGCCATAGACAGAGGAAATGTGGAACAAAACTCAGTCATAAAGACCAGGCATAATAATCTGATAGAGATGGGTGGAACCCCCAAGACCATAGCCTTGGGAAATGCATTTGCCCCAAGGCAAAATTCCTGTCTAAACAACACAAGTTTCTTAAGGGAACAAATGATATTACGGTGGAGGTGCAATTAATGACAAAATGTATATGACTGTTAAATGAAAAACTGATCTGCTCTGTAAACCTTCAACTAAAAATTTTAAAAGTGCTTTAAATTAATTTTTTAGGGTGTTGTTATCTGTAAAATTCAAAATGAATTCCTTATCAATAGGATTCAAACTGCCTTAATAAAAAAAATGTAAAACAAATTGCCTAATTGCCCCAATAGTTTCTAATCTTCTGAAAACTTACGTAAACTATGCTAGTACTTTTAACAGGAGCCCTGGTGGTTTAGTGGTTATGTATTTGAGCTTCGGATCACCAAGGTCAGCAGCTGGAAACCACCAGCTGTTCCCAGGGAGAAAGACAAGGCTTTCTACGCCATGAAGAGTTACAGTTTTGGAAACCCACTAAGATAGTTCTATTCTGTCCTTGGGGTCACTATGAGTCAGCATTGACTCGACGGCAGCTTTTTTACATTACATTTAACTCATTTTTGAGAATCAACTCAACAATAGTTTTGAAGTATTTTGGTGGGTTTTTAAAGACAACTCGAAGTTCTAGCTGTAACTTCTCCTAATAAGCTGAAAATAGTGCAGGGTAATTTTACCAAATAAATATATCGGTCTACCCAGAACTGGGATTTTCTTTTGCTACATTGCCTACATTCACAATGACTCAGTCTTCATGAGTAAAGCTAAATTCAGAAACTGAAGTAAGTGCTAGTACAAACATTGTAGAATCCCAGAAAGAAAGTTTAATAGTCACAGATAGTCTGATTTGTTCCAGGTGGGAAGAAAAAAAAAAATTGAAGAAAATACAAAAAAGATGAAAGGGAGAGAAAGGTGAAAGGGAGGGTATGGGAGAGAAGTCCAAAGGGTGGCATGAAAGAAAGGGCAAAGAGGGGCATGGGAAAGAAGCTGAAGAGGGGGCAGAGAGAAAAAGGAGGGGGTAGAGGAAGGAGAGAAAGAACAGAGGAGCTGGGGGGAAGAATGCCCAACTATAATCTCATACACTATTAAGAATCTTTGTTCTAACAATCCGGCCTTCTGTGAATAAAGTGTTCTTGTGTTAAGGAAATGCTTGAGTGGAGGCCCAATGTCCTTCTGCAACCTTAATTCTTAACATGTAAATATGAGTACATAGTTATATTCCCCTCTCATTATATATATTTACATATGTACATGCCTGTATTTAGGTCTCTATAAATGTCCTTTGCCTCCTGGTTCTTTCCTCTTATTTCCTTTTTACTTCCCTCTTATCCCACCATCATGCTCGGCCTTCAATCAGGCTTAGTAATTCCTCGCTGCTACATTGCCCTTGGTTGAGCCCCACTAGGCATCCTACGACCTTCCTTCCATTGTTGTTCCCTTGTCCCTGGGTTGGTTCCCCCACCCCACCCCTTCCTTTCTCCCACCTGCCCTTCTCCCGTATCACCCCCCCCAAACCATTGGCCCCATTCTTTTCATATCCAAATTATTTGCCCTGCCTATCTTATCTAGGTGGACATGTAGATACATTAATAAGTGCAAAAACCAGACTGTGATGAAGAAAGCTTATGGTGCCCAGCTATCATCTGGGGTCTTAAAAGCTTGAAGATAAACAAGCAGCTATCGATCTCAGAAGCAACAAAACCCACATGAAGAAGCACACCAGCCTGTGTGATCACGAGATGTTGATGGGATCAAGTATCAGGCATCTAAGACCCAGAATAAAACCATACCCAAGGTGAATTGGGTGGAGGAGAGGGAGTGCACGCACACCATGGAGTAGAGGTCCAATGCCCATCTGTACACAATTGGACATCCCCTCACAGAGGGGTCACAGAGAAGAGATGAGCCAGTCAGAGTGCAGTATAGCACTGATGAAACACACAACTTTCCTCTAGTTCTTTGGTGCTTCCTTCATGCCACTATCATGACCTCAATTCTACCTTACAAATCAAATTAGACCAGAACAACCACACTGCTACCAGGATAGATAAACCCCTCAGGGCCAACCAGGAGAGTACAAATACCAGGAGGAATAGGGGAGGGTGGGGGAAAAAAGGGGGAACCAATCATAAGGATCAATTTAGATACCCCTCCCAGGGGGTCGAGTAATGGAAAAGGGGGTGAGGGGCAATGTAGGACAATGTATAAGATATGGAAAAAATCTATAACGTATCAAGGGTTCCTAAGGGAGGGTGGGGGAGAAATAGGGAGCAGATTAACAGGGGCTCAAGTGGGAAGAGAATCCTTTGAAAATGATGGCAGCATATGTGCAAATGTGCTTGACACACTGGAGGAATGTATGGATTGTGATAAGATGTAAGAGTCCCCCCAAAAAAGTATTTTAAAAAAGGAATATTAAGTTATTGGATCTTAAAAAAAAAAAAAAGATTAGTCTCATGCAAAGACTACATTTTTTGCTTTCTAAGCAACCATAAAGAGTCTTTTAGAAAGTCCAGGTTTCCATACTCAAAATACACACGAGACCCTATAGAACAGAGTAGAACTACCCCTGTGAGCTTCTAAGACTAAATCTTCCCAGCTTCATTTGTCTCCTAAGGAGCTGCTAGTGCCATCAAACTGCTGACCTTTGGTTAGCAGCCGAAAGCATACCCACTACCCTACAGGGCTCCCCAGTGAAGAAGGAATCCAAACAGCAGCAAGGTCTAGAATAGATCCTGTGACATCTGTATAAAACCTAACCACACCTGTTACCATTGAGTCAATTGCAACTCACAGATACACTACAGGTGAAAATAAAAGGACTACAATCCAATAGGATTCCAAACTCCTTAAGGGAGCGGCTGGTAGTTTTGAACCACCTAACTTCAGACTACCAGCCATGTGCTTAACCACTGTGTCACCAGGGCTCTTTTTGGTGTCTTTAAATGAGGTAAGGAGTCAGAGTTATGAGCAGAATCATGGCATAAGATGATTCATTTAAAAGATTGTTATGGATGTAGAGTGAGGAACAGATGTTGGGGATAAAAGCAAAGAAGAAGTGGGGGGGGGGGGTCACTAAGAAGGCTACTGCAAAAGTTCAGGCAAGAAATATAGTGTTTTAGACCAAGGTGGTAGTGATGAACATGATGGGAGGCTGACAGATTCTGAATCTATCTTTATTAAGAGACAGATGGGCTGCCTACTGAGCTAAGGAGGCAACAGCTATTTTTAATATATAACCCAAAGGATTTGAGCTGAAAAAACATCAAGTTGTTTGGCCTAAGTAACTGGAATAAGAATAAACTGTCCCATTTACTGATATGAGAAGCTCATAATAAAAATGAGTTGCCTAACCCATGCAGAGGTGGTCAATGTTCAACCATTTGAAGAGGTAACCTGCTGAAGAACCAATGAGAGTGAAGGAAGAAGTCCAAAGCTGCACTGACAAGACATTAGCAAAAAAAGGAGAAAAGAAAAAAATAAAGGCTCCAAGAATGAACCAAGTATCAATTGAAAAGATAAATATACTCATATATAACAATTGAGATGTTTCAAGAAATGAGCCCAAGCATTGGAAGCACTCACTAGCCTATATAAGAAATCTGGAAGACAGCTCCCTGGCCAACTGACTTCAAGAAAAATGAAAACGTTGTACACAAATGTTTATAGCAACCTAATTC